GGATTACTGAGATGCATCAGGACATATAGCTAACATAGCCAAAAAAAAAATGCTAAAATTAGCATAAAATTGCAATTTGAAATAACTCAGAGAAAGGGTTGCAAAAAATTCAAATTAGGAGAAAGAAAATGCATTAAAGTACAAAAAAGTGATAATTTTTAAGAAAATAGCTAAAAATTGCAGAAACTTTCAGTAAAACAGCTATAAAAAGCTGGAAAACATTTAATTAGCACAAGGAAGCAAAAGGATCACAAAAAATGTGTATTTAGCTTAGAAAAGCTGACTTTAGCTAAAATATCACACAAAGTAGCACAAAAAGTGGAAAAAATCAGAAGAATAGCAGAAAGAAGCTGAATTTTAGCTGAAATAGCAGGAAAAAAGCTAAGATTAGCAAAAAACAGCTAAAATTAGCACAAGAAAGTGAAAAAGAGCAGAAGCAGAACAAAATGAAAGGTGCTGTAAAGATTTAGAAACATTTGAAAGGATTTTAAGGTTGTTGAAAACAGCTCCATTTATTTTTACTGGGGAAAAAAAAAGGCTAAAAAAGTGAAAAAGCTGAAAAAGCTAAAGTTATAGCCTGACATGAAGCAGCCGAACGTTTTGATACATGAATTATTCAAACAGCACAAAGCTGAATGGACATGAATGCTGTGAAGCATTCACACTAGAAATATTTTCTAGACCCGTCACTAAAGTTCTGGTTCCAGAAAGAGACAGAGGTCTGGGTCAGATCCAGGACCTGGGTTCTGACTCACCGTACTGGTCCCCGTCGTTGGCCCAGTGTGGACTCTGATCTGGATACTCTGCAGGAACGCTGAGCTGCAGAGGAGGAACGCTGGGAAGATTCTTATCATCTGGAACACAAGGAACCGGGTCAGAACCGTTAGACCTGAACCCTGAGTTCACAGAGCAGGACTCAGTGGGTCAGAACCGGTTCTGAAGATTTGAAACAGCTCAAATCTGAAAGATTTCACTGATTTAATCTGTTTCATTTAGATTCATGAGTAAAAATACATAAATTTATCATCAAAACATTTTAGTTGAAGAACTTCAGAAGTTCTGTTCAGTTCTCTGTAGACAGAACCGGTTTATGACCCGACTGAGCTCAGTTCAGTTCTGTTGAAACATTCACTCATCAGGTATGAGAACAGCTGGAGTTTCAGTCAGGATTAGATTCATCAGAGTACTGTCCTGTCAGACTTATGTAACTGATAGATTTCAGTTTGTTAATGTTAATAATGAATCTTCTTCTTACACCAGAGTTAGTCATGGAGTTCCTCAGGG